ATATATATATATATATATATATATATATATATATATAGGAGCTTACTGAAAACCAGAATGTTTATTTCTTAACAGTGGCACTTTATTTGCCTGTCTTACTTTATTTAAAAGGTGACCAAGAAACATCCTTTGCTCAGAGCCCAAAAGCCAGTTCCTCAGGGTGGGGTCTAGCTCTGAAGGAGGCAAGCAGACGGCACTTGATAGGACGAGCTGTGCCAGGAGAGGCAGGGTGATCTCACTTGGCTCTGGTGCACACAGGCTGCTCCTCCAGCACCTGACTGCAGGTGCCAGGGTGTCCCTTCCCGCCACTACCTGTCCCTGCAAGTCACTCCATCCCGGCCTCTGTACTCTGGCGGCCCCAGATAGGGAGGGTTGAGAAGCAAACTGCTGACTGACTGACAAGGCCCATGGCTGGAGCAAGTGCACCATTACTTCCTTGGCTCCCATGAAAGGAGCTCAGAAATAATAGCCAAGAGGAAAGAGACCAGAAATTTAATGATACGTTCATCCATAAAACAGTTCAGGCTGGTGAAGCAGAAAAGGGATGTGATTACAACATAAGTGAAATTAGTCACTTGCACAGTTAATCCTCTCGCATCACACAAACGAGGCTTTCGCGGCAAACGGTCACATCAGACACAACCAGCACCGGCGGAGGGCAGGGCGCTCTGGAGTCCATCATGCTCAGACCCGCGAGGCGATGCGGAGACCTTGCCCTCCAGCATGACCCACCACCTGGCTGCCTCTTCCTGCACCGCAGCCCGTTCCTGTGGCTACACCCCAGTCCCCTGGGACCGGTGCCCAGGCCGCAGAAACAGACTGCTCACGAGCCTTTTCAGGGCCCAGTGAAGAGGCCACTTGAGCCACAGGGTACATGAGGGAGTTTAGGGGACGCTGGGGGCCGAAGTGGGAGAAGGGTATCTAAATAGACTTATGTACACTAAACCAATGAAAGAGGTTTGGCTGTTAAGAAATAAAGATGTCCCCAACTGCAGAACCAAGCTGCTGAGTAGGTTCCCCAGGTGAGATACACATTTAACACTTGACCAGGGCCTGTACACTTCACTGGTTTAATTCTATTACATTTGTCATCACTAGACACTGAGTAGAATACAGTGGATAAGCAAAGGTTTCTCCACCATGGAGAGAGATTTGTGTTGCCACAAACTGTTTCTATCACCCACCTGTGTGGGAGGACTTCTGAGGAAGTTTTCTTGTTCCAGGGGAGAGGTGTGACAGCATGAGGCACCACCTCAGCATAAGCTCTCTGCGCGAGAAGCCACACACACACAGACGACATGGCACAAGGGGAAAGCCCTGAAGAGCACACAAAGATCAGCTTTTAAAATAGGTGTGATAAGGCTACACAGTTAAATTTTGTAAATACGAATAGGCACATTTACATCACTGGTGTTCAAATGCACAGTTCAAATGGATCCAATCACTTTTCCAAACAGCCTTCCTTCATAACACCATTCAAACATTCTGCTTAAGTAAAATCAAGCACTAAAAATACTCTAAAAATTCAAAGAGGAAATGTGTCCATCTCTTAAGCCAATGATGTTACCTGTCTAAGGACCACCTTCCCCCAGCAAAGCAGTCTGGCTGTCACTAAGTTCCTTTTGGTATGAAAAGACAGTTTTTCTCCACCAATATCAACACTGCCCAAGCCTTTATTGTTGAAGTCATAGCAGCTGCCCATTAAGAGGGAATAATCTAAGTGCAAATGTTAGAAGTCACAGCTATATACCATCTCAGTAAAAGAGCCTGAATTCATAGGGGATACTGAACAAAAATCAAAGAAGATGCACATTCCAAGTTCAATTACATGTGGTGTTAATATATTAATAGGTCAAATTATGTGAAACTTTCACTTTTGTAGATCAAAAAAGCAAATACCACAAACTTCCTATGGTTCAACCTAATGTAATTTAGAAGTGTAAACTATTTAAAATATATGTTGCCCTCTTAATTATCTTCCTAGACTCTGTTTCTAAGGTGTCAGACCTAAACATAAAGGCAAAGCTTTTTTCTCTGGAGTGAAAATTTAGACCACTGCTATCTAAGAGAACTGCCCTAGACCTAAGCAGTCCTATGCCACACATGGCTGCTGAGCACTTGGAATGTGGTTTGTGTGACCAAAGAAGTGAGTTTGAAATTTAATTGAAAAAAATATATAATGTTTATTTTTGAGGGGGGGGGAAGGGAGGGGCAGAGAGAGAGGAGATACATAATCCGAAGCAGGCTCCAGGCTCTGAGCTGTCAGCACAGAATCTAATGTGGGGCTCGAACTCAGGAACCAAGAGATCATGACCTGAGCCAAAGTTGAACATTTCACCTTCTGAGCCACCCACACGCCCCTAAATTTAATTTTACTTAAAATTTAACCACATATAACTGGTGACCACCATAGTGGATAGTACAAGTTTAGACACAATTGCAGTTTTCTCCTGGCTATGTTAAAGTGTTGAGCAGCTGATTTTTGCTCTGAGAGAATAGGAGATATACCTAGCTAATACTGAAATGGAGCCACATCTTCTCTTGCAACTTCAAATATCCACCCTGAGGACAGCTGTTAGACTTTATTTTACATTCATGCACTTAAAACTTGACAGTTTTTTCTTTTAATAGAAAAAAACAAGATTACCAAAAAGTCTGGTAGGTTGGCTTAATATGAAATACATTCTGCCCCTTGTGACTTGTAGACACTTGAGAAGAAAATAAAGGCTGGAATGAGAGATGAACCTGAAAACTGTGCCTAGTCCTAAGGTGCAACCCTCTCTGGGAGTCCCTTTCTCTGATTCCTTCATCAGTGCTGCCACTGCCCCCCACCCCACCCCCAAATCAACAAACCTGGAACACTTGCAGAAATCACAATTACCTTAGATGGAATTCTGGTTCCAAATTTCAATTTGAGTTAAATCTTAATGGAGCCTGTACCTATGTTTCTTGAACACAGTTTTAAAACCAAGACTGCTAAACTCAAGAATAGAAACTCTCTGTTCACAGTGAGAATATTTTCAGCTTGCTCTGCTATCAGGATAGGCCAGTGGGAGTTGTTAAAACCCAAAGTAGCAAAGACTCAAATTTCCTTCTGGGAAGTGTAGGTGATGGTCAAATCAGCTCTGGAGGTCAGCATCTCAACTTGAGATGGCCAAGCAAGAAATAAGGCAAAAGTGGACAGGTAGTTCCTTCCATCCAGCACCACAGACAGTGGGGGAACTAGAGTCTGGTTCTAAAGGCAAACAAGCTGTGGTCTCCTCACCTGACAGTATCTATACCGTGTAGCTGAGTCACAGACATTTTTAAACACTAAATGTATCTGGTCTTATCTGGACTTTTCTGTACTCTTCTCTCCATGAAAACACACGCAAGCAAAAAATAACCCCGAAACAAAATAAAACTTCAAAGGACTAATTCTTGAATTTGCAGTATAGGTACAAGTGATCCAACAAATTTATTTAATCAGTGCTGATAAGCAGCAGCCTTGAGAGATACCAAGAGCAGCAATCACCTGGTCTACTTAATGATGCTCTCCCAGTTACCTCTTACAATCGAAAAGAACGATTACTGACAGTCACTGAAATCTTGTGGGCCACAAATGATGTGCGCACATGATCCTGGATTTCGAGTCCACCTGATCTCCCATTACAGCTGTGAAAGGCAGCAGGCAGTTCTGCTCTTCGCAATCAGGAACATATCTTGCTTTCAGCATGTGACAGTAACAAAGCATTGATGTAAATGTGCCTCAAAGTGAGAATTGAAAACATTAATATAAAAAAAGTCAAATAGAACTAAGTTCTTGAAACTACATATAAAAACAATTATTACAACTAAAGCAGCAAATCAAAGTATCTGCCGAGGTTTTCTGGTAGAACTAAAAAAAAAATTAGTTGGTGCCCATGTTTAATATGTCACTACCATTGACAAAACTAAACCAAAAATAGGAAATTGAAAAGTGCATAATGAAATTAAATCTCGGATCAAGTATTTACGGAAAACTGGAAATGTTTGTCCGGTATAGTTGACAAATAATGATTTAAAGGAGGTATTAAAGTTTATCTGATCCAGCTTTGGCCTGGCGTTCCACATAAAAAAGGATGTAGGCCTTTGCCTTCACAACGGTGTCTTCATCAGTCAGCGTTACAGTACTGTCATTGAAATGGAACCAGCGACCTTCATGAGTTGCATATGCTGTGTAATGTCCAGAACCGACCCTATAAGGAAACGTAAAAAAATGAAAGAAAAGGACTACAGAAATAACAGAAGGATCTGCGCAATCATATAATCTGTTAGATATGCAATAAATTATAAATACTGTAATAAAGAATAAGCCCTAGGGACTTGTGGTTTAAGATGGCGGACTAAACTCGTGTGTATGTTCCTCAAAACTCACGGAAGTAACAATGAATGTGCAGGCATTGGAAATAGAGGGAAGAGGGCCATTGAATGAGCAGGAACTGAAGATGTTCTACATCACCTAAAAGCAGTGTTCACATAGCACTGGGTTAATGGAAACACCAAAGGGGCCAAGGAGCTCAACCTAACAAGCATGGGTCTAGGCTTACGGACACATGGAAAAGTGAGGAACAGATTTCCATCACAGCCTTGGAAAAAACCTGAGCTTAAGAAAGTAATCTGCCTCCAGGAAAGGGCTTTTCTCTTTCAGCATGACCCACCCACTCAGCCATACAGTCAGCCCTATAGTCAGCCCTCCCAGGTGAGAGAAAAGCCTCAGGTAGAACAGACACTTTTCGTAAATGCTAGACAAACCCTTACCATTTATCAATAATAATCTCATCATCTATTAGGATTCTAAATAGCCCCAAATCATCAAACCCTTGGGGGGGGGGGCAGCGGTGGGGACACAGTATGAAAGAAAAGTACTGGGAAGAACAAGCAATTAACCACTAACAAATTTAATGCAGAAAACCAAAGAGCTTTAAAAATTCTTATTAATACCAATGGTTTAAAAAAGATAGCGCAACCATAAAACAAAAATGTTTGTTAGGAAAAGGAGTTACCAGAAAAATGGGATTGCCATGGTATCAAAAATGTCATCTTCAATTTGGGTACAGATGAAATCCAAATTGGTGATTTGGAAAAATAGGCCATGGCAGTCTTAAGAAACAGAGATGGAAATCATTAAACAACGGTTAAAATGTGGAAAAGAACCAGAAAATTCACTATATAATAATCACCCCTTGTCCTCAGTTTCCCTTTCCACGGTTCAGTTTACCACAGTCAGCTGCGGTCCAAGAGATGATGCTTTCTAATATATTGTCCAAAGGTCAAGAGAAGCCTAACACTGTCACAATTATAATTAATATTATAATTGTTTATAAATTAAGCTATCATAGGTATGTCTGTATGTACATGAAAAAATAAAGTGTATATATAGGATTTGTTACTATGATTGTAAGCATCCACTTGGGAGTCTTGGAATGTATCTCTGCAGATACGGAGGGATTGCCACACATGTAACAGGGAGAGAATGGGGTGGAACAAACAATATTTCCATGAGCTGAGGACACCAAAGACTGTCCCTATCAACTACTAAGCCAGGAATACAGCTACTATAATTTCTTAAATCCGAAGAGAGAGGATCCTACGACCTTCCAGTAAGTAAAAAAAAGTTGCCTATAAAGAGATGAGAATCAGACCTGTAGTGGACTTGGCCCTGGAATGATGAAGTCAAGGGAGCAATGTCTACAAAGTTCTGAGGGAAAAGGGTTCTCAACGCGGATAGGGGTTTGTCCATGTTTAAAAGTAAAATAGCCATTCTCAAGGAATCAGAAAGCATAAACTAATAACAAAATTACCAGAAAAAAATTATTCAATAAAATAAAAAAATCTTTAAACAGATGATATGAAGTAAGTTACTCCAAATAATTTCCCATTTTACCCCAATTTAAAAGTCAAATGGCAAAGGAAATAAACAACTTTGGAGTAAAGTCTACTGAGGATTTTGTGGACAAACAGGTTCTCAATGCTGAGCTCAAATGAACCCTTCTCCATTTTGCTTTCATGTGCCTTTTCTTCTAACTTCACAACATCCTCTCCAGAACATTCTTTGACACCACGACTGAAAGAAAGTTCTACCTCACCTGTGTTATGTATCTGAAACCATTTTTAAGGAGTTGACGGGGAATGATCAAGAGTGGTGCAAAATTGCAGGTCTTCGCTGTGCTTTTTATTTATTTTTTTTAGCGTTTACTTATTTTTTGAGACAGAGACAGAGTGTGAGTGGGGAAGGGGCAGAGAGAAAGGGAGACACAGAATCAGAAGCAGGCTCCAGGCTCTGAGCTGTCAGCATACACCCTGACGCGGGGCTCGAACCCACAAACTGTGAGATCATGACCTGAGCTGAGGGTGGAAGCTTAACTGACTGAGCCACCAAGGTGCCCCTTTGCTGTGCTTTTCGAAAACCAATCATAAGAAAAGCCACTGACACACTTACCCAGAACCATGGTGCACCACCACAGCAGCAAGGTCATACAGGCAGCTCTCCGGGCCACTGTTCTCAGGCTATAGAACAAGGGAGAAGACATCCAGGACTGAGTTAGGAGCAGGGGTCAATGACACCCCAGCTCCTATCAATGTGAAGACTTAATTTTACTGAAAAGCCATCTTAGCACCTCCTAGCAAAGGTAATTAATTTACCATACCTCTAGTAAGTAGCATTTCATGTCTAGGCCTCTCAATGGAAATTCTACATAGGTATCAACTTTGTTTCTTAAATATGCAGTCCAGTGAAATCGTTTCAGATGTAAGCATAGTACCTGGATGAGAGATAAGGACAAAGATTGTAAAAAAAAAAACCAAAAACACCTAATTTCCCTTTCAGTAAAATTAGCTACTTGGTACTAATACCTCTCAGTAATATTTTAGGTGGCCTATCAGTTCTTTTTTTTTTTTTTTTTTTTAACCTTGATAGTACATTCTTCCACATACCTTATTATGATATTGTGATTTATAATAAATATAACACCTGAAATTAATACAACACTGTAGTTAACTGACTGGAAACAAAAACTAGAAAATATATATGCTAAGGGTTTAGGAGCTGTATGGAAAGGGGGTTAAGACCTAATATACACATATATATATATATATATTATATACATATATATTATATATACACTATGTATTTTCTAAAATAATTATATATACTTTATATAATGTTATATATTTAATTAGACTTATATAGTATATATATTATATATGTATTTCCACACAGCTCCTAAACTGTTAGAATTTCCAAAGGGATGGCCATATAGGTGTCTTTGTTATGCCAATAAGGTAACTTGTTGACTGCCTCAAAGGATTGGGCGTGGTTGCCAGGGGTCCAACCATGTGATTACAGAATTGGAACTTTCAGTCTCCCCAACCCAACTCTCCAGGTAGGGCAGAGGGGCTGAAAGTTGAACAACTGCCAACAGCCAATGACTTAATCAGCCATGCCTATGTAATGAAGGCTCCATAAAAATCGTAAAGGAGAGGTTTGGAGAGCTTTCAGATGGGGAACCAGAACACTTCAAAGTGCTACTGGTGCCAGGCCCAAACTCCACAAGGACAGAAGCTCCTCTGTTCAGGACCCTGCCCTATGCATCTCCTCATATACATGTCTAGCCTGTTGGGCAGAAGCATAAAATAACAAGCTGCATTTGCTGGGCTTCTGAAGCAGAGGTAGTCTTATGGGACTGAGCCCTGAACCTGTGGAATCTGATCACTATCACCGGCTTTGACAGTGTCAGAGTTGCACTGAATTGTAGGACACCCAGCTGGCTGCTTAGCAGTGGTGTGATAGGAAACCATCCTCTCCACATACTGGAAATTGTGATCAGGACACATTAATTATACATTCTCAAAGGGTTTATTTACCTCTTGCTGAAAACTCTAGAGACCAATACAGAATAGATCACGTAGGCTAAAGTTACAAAAATAATTTGTCTTCTCATCAATCATAAACATTTTTCCCCTCAAAATTGCATAATTTGAAACTCCATGCTTACCTTGGGTAGTTTCTGAATCCAAAACTTTTTAGTGGATTTTTGTTTCTTTTTGCATTTGTGGCACATATATAACTCTGTCTCATCGAGTTCTTCTAAGTCAGTAAAACTGCGAAGACAATCTAAAACCAAATTGATTTTGGCGACATTAAAACAGAAAGCCTTCTATAGAGACAGTGTGCTGTAGAAAACAGACTGAACTTTGAAGCTGGACAACTATGGCTCAAATCTCAGCTTTATTAGCTTTGTGACCTTGGAAAAGTCAGCCTTTCTTGGTTGCAAAATGGATACCAAAAAACCCCAAACAAACCCACTTTGAAGAACTGCTGTGAGGAAAATAACGTGTGAAGTTCCTGGCCATTATGTCTGACATCTGGTAGTGATCAGTTAACGACAGGTGATACGGTTATTGGGTTTGTTGCTTTTAATGAAGAATTAGTCTGGATCATTTTGATGAAAATGGTTTCCTTAAATCCAAGTTTGAGCCGCAACTTTCTCTCAATGTCTTACATTATAGTTGGACAAAGTCAGATCCAACATTTTGAGTCATAACTTACTTAAAAACATGGATTGCAGGAAACGACATTACTGACCTTCCTACTATACCTCCAGTGAATCCTTTGTTCCAGGCTCTACTCTGAATCCACTAGACAAACCACAGATAGTTGTTTTTTTTTTTTTTTTTTTTTTTTTTTTTTAAAGGTTTAACTGTGTAATCTGGGGTTTGGCGTACTGCAGCCCCAAGCCAAATCCAGCTAGTTGGTTTTGTAAATAAAGTTTTCTTGGAACACAGACACACCCACTCATTTATATATCATCTGTAACTGCTTGTACACTTAACAGCAGAGTTAAGTAGTTGGGATGCAGAACTTCTGTGCAATAATGCCTAACATATTTATATCTGGCCTTTTATAGGAAAAGTTTGCCAACTCCTATTGTAATCAGTAAGGTATGTATTGTTCTGTAGAGAAATAATACTCTTTTTAGAGAAGAATATGAATGCCTGTACCCAGCCCTCAGGTAAAAAAAATGGATTCTCTCTAGTACTGGAGGAGCCAGACTTTATGTATATATACGGCTTCCCCTAGAGTTCTGCAGTGAACGACCTAAACGGCCATGTGTGGGAGCCCTGCTAGGAGTTTCCTGTATCTTCCCACTCACAAACCCCGTATTTCCCCCTAGAAATAGCCATTATCCTGAATTCTGTACTGTCTTTTTGCTTGCCTCTCTAGACCACATATATGCACATATGCATCTTTAAACAATATAATGTTTGAAAAGTTGGGTAGCAAGCACAAACCTATCTATATAAGGAAAAGGGACACTGGTCTCTGTACTCAAGAGTTTTCAGGTCATAGTCAATGCGGGCTTCCATGAGACAGTATAAGGAAGAGCCTGGGAGTGCACGGGCCAATGTGTGGAAAAGGGGACCATGCATTCTTTGTGGGATTTTTTTTGAGGTATAACTGGCACATATTATTTTCAGCTGCACAACATAATTCAATATTTGTACTGTGAAATGATCACCACAATAAGTCTAATTAATATCCATCACCATACGTAGTAACATAGTTTAATTTTTTTTTTCCTGCGGTGAGAACTTCTGATTTCTCTTAGCAACTTTTAAACATACAATACAGTATTATTAACTGTAGTCAACATGCTCAAATTGTATCCCAATGACTTACTAACTGCAAGTTTCTACTTTTTGATCCCCTTCACCCTTTTTGCCCACCCCCCCATCCCTCACCTCTGGTAACTACCAATTTCTTTTCTGTTATCTATGAGCTTGGATTTTTTGTTGTTGGTTTGGTTTGTTTTGTTTTGTTTTTTTTAGATTTCACATAGAAGTGAGATCATAAGGTATTTGTCTTTCTCTAACTTGTTTAACTTAGCATAATGCCCTTGAGTTCCATCCATGTTGTTGTAAATGGCAAGCAAGATTTCATTCTTTATGGCTGAAATATTCCATTGTATAAATATGTTGTCTTTATCCATTCATGTAACAGTTGCTTCTATATCTTGATTATTGTAAATAATGCTGCAATGAACATGGGGATCATTTATATCTTTTCAAGTTAGTATATTCATTTTCTTTGGGAAAATACCCAGAAGTGGAATTGCTGCGTCATCTGGTAGTTCTACTTTAATTTTTTGAGGAACCTCCATACTGTTTTCCATAGTGGCTACACCAATACACATTTTGACCAGAGTGTACTCCACATCTCTGCCGACACGTTATTTCTTATATTTTTGATAACAGCCATTCTGACAGTTGTGAGGTGATACTTCATTGTGGTTTTCATCTGCATTTCTCTGATTATTAGTGACATAGAGCATCTTTTCATATACCTGTTGGCCATCTGTAGGTTATCTTTGGAAAAATGTCTATTAGGATCTTCTGCCCATTTTTTAAATGGAACTGGTTGTTGTTTTGTTGTTTTGCTATTGAATTATATGAGTTCTTTATATATTCTGGATATTAACCCCTTAGCAAATATTATTTGCAAACATTTTCTCCCATTCAGTAGGTTGCCTTCTTATCTTATTTCCTTTACTGTCCAGAAGCTTTTTGGTTTGAAGTTATTCCTCTTCTTCTAAGTAAGCTTCAAGCCCAGTGTGGAGCCCAATGCAGGGCTTGAACTCATGACCCTGAGATGAAGACCTAAGATAAGATCGAGACTCAAATGCTTAACCATCTGAGCCACCCAGGCACCTCTGAAGTAATCCCTCTTACTTATTTTTCCTTTTGTTGCCTTTGCTTATGGAGACAGATTAAAAAAGTCACTGCCAAAACCTATGTCAAGGAACTTACCTCCTATGTTTTCTTCTAGGATCTTCATGGTTTCAGGTCCTAGGCTCCAGTCTTCAAACCATTTTGAGTTAAAAAAAAAGTATTCCATTTTCACTCTTTTGCATGTGACTGTCCAGTTTTCCCAACATCATTTATTGAAGAGACCATCCTTTCCCTTGTATATTCTTGGCTCCTTTGTTGTAAACTGACCATGTATGTATGGACTTATTTTTGGATTCTCTATTCTGTCCCACTGATAAAGATGTCTGTTTCTATGCCAAAACCATACTGTTTTGATCTGCTATAGTTTTGTAATTTAGTTTAAAAGCAAGGAGTGTGGGGCACCTGGGTGGCTCAGTTGGTTGAGCATATGACTCTTGGTTTCAGCTCAAGTCATGATATCATAGTTTGTGAGTTTGAGCCCCGCATTGGGCTCCATGATGGCACTGTGGAGCCTGCTTGGGATTCTCCTGCTCTCCCACTCTCTGTCTGTCAAAACAAATGACTAAACCTAAAAAAAAAAAAAAAAAAAAAAAAAAAAAAAAAAAAAAAAAAAAAAAAAAAAAAAAAATCAAGGAGTGTGATGCCTCCTGCCTTCTTCTTCTTTCTCGGGATTTCTTTGGCTATCTGGGGTCTTTTGTGGTTCCACACAAATATTAGGATTATTTATTCTACTGTGAAAAATACCATTGGAATTTTTATGGGGTTGCAGTGAATCTGGGGATTGCTTAGGGTAATATGAACACTTTAACAACATTAATTATCCCAATCCATGGGCATGGTATATCTTTCCATTTATTTGTATCCTTTAATTTCTTTCTTCATTCTTACAGTTTTCATTGTACAGGTCTTTTACCTCAGTTAAATTTATTCTTAGGTATTCTTTCTGATGCAACTGTAAAGGGACTATTTTATCTTTCTGACAGTTCATTATTAGTGTATAAAGTGCAATAGTTTTTTGCTATAATGATTTTGATGTTAAAACTTGAATATGGGGGCGCCTGGGTGGCGCAGTCGGTTAAGCGTCCGACTTCAGCCAGGTCACGATCTCGCGGTCCGTGAGTTCGAGCCCCGCGTCGGGCTCTGGGCTGATGGCTCAGAGCCTGGAGCCTGTTTCCGATTCTGTGTGTCCCTCTCTCTCTGACCCTCCCCCGTTCATGCTCTGTCTCTCTCTGTCCCAAAAATAAATAAACGTTGAAAAAAAAAAAAAAAAAATTTAAAACTTGAATATGCTTTTTGGTGGAATCTTAAGGGTTTTTCTATATATAATTCTGTGTCATCTTTGAAATAGGATGCCTTTTTTTTCCCTTGCCTAATTGCTCTGGTGAGGATTTTCAATACTATATTGAATAGAAGTGGTGAAAATGGACATCCCTGTTTTATTCTCTGCTCTGGGGAAAGGCTTGCAGCTTTCACCATTCAGTATTATGTTAGGCTGTGGGCTTGTCCTATATGGCCTTTACTATGTTGAGGAAAGTACCCTCTATATCCACTTTAAGAATTTTTATCATAAATGGGTGTTGAATTTTGCCAAATGCTTTTTATGCATCTACTGAGATAACCATAGAATTGTTATCCTTCATTTTGTAATGTGTTGTATAACACTGACTACCTTGCAGATGTTAAACCTTCCCTGCATCCCTGGAACAAATCCTACCTGATTATGGTATATGAACCTTTAGTGTACAGTTGACCCTTGAACAACACAGAGATTCAGGGCATTGATCCCCTGTGCAGCTGAAAATCCATGTATTAAAAAAAATCCATATATGGCTTTTGACTCCCTCAAAACTTAACTACTGATAGGCTATTGTTAACCAGAATCCTAATAACACAATTGACACATATTTTGTATGTTATATATATTATATACGGTACTCTTACAGTAAAGTAAGAAAAAGGAAAATGTTATTTTAAAAAATGACAAGGGGCTCCTGGGCTTGTTAAGTGTCCAACTTTTGATTTCAGCTCAGGTCATGATCTTAGGGTTTGTGGGATCAAGCCCCATGATGGGCTCTGTGCTAACAGGAAGGAGCCTGCTTGGAATTCTCTCTCTCCCTCTCTCTGCCCCTCCCCCACTTGGACACACACGCTTGGTCTCTCAAAATAAATAAGCTTTAAAAATAATCACAAGGAAGAGAAAATACGTTTATAGTACTATACTGTATTAATTGAAACAATTCGCATATAAGCGGACCTGTGTAGTTCAAACCCATGTTATTCCAGGGTCAACAGTATTGTTGAATTCACTTTTTTAATGATTTGTTGAAGATTTCTGCACCTATGTTAATCAGGAACATCAGCTTTTCTTATGGTGCCCTTGTCTTT